CATTCCTAGCCTTTGCAGCCTAATGCACTGCATGTGTTTCTCAAACTCTGGCTGCCATGTTCTCCGTCAGCCTGCCCATGACCAGGCATTAGGGATCTGGCATCCTTCAATCTCATAGATGGATAATATATTACTGTTTAGACATCAGTTCTTGGTGTTTAAAGGTCCATTCATTTTAGAGATAAATTAGAGGGCATTTAGTTGTCAGGCAGTGGGGCTAGATCAAATGCCAGCCTAACTATGGTTAACATAAAGAGTGACCAGCAGGAGCATCCTCTATTAAAAGTGCCCTGAGCTTGTCCAAAGACATGGTGGGGAGAGCCTTCATCAGCCCTGAGTGTCCTACCCCAAATTCCTTGGGTATACAATGTTTTGACCCCTGCCGTGGCATCAGAGTTGGAAACTATGATGAGGCACCTCAGGGAAGACCATGCTGCACTGCAGACATCTGCTTCTCCCGGGCTCCTTGCCTGCTGCCTGTATTAGGCTGTGTGACCTGTGGTCTCTGTGCCCTGAGGGCCCCACTGGAGACTCCTTGGCTGACACTGCAGTCAGTCCCTCCTTCCCTTGTAGTGTTCGAGCCGAATTCTGCCTGTTGGCACTGCTTCCATGGTGAGCATTCACAATTCCTCTTGCTTGTGAATCACTGTGCCCGTCACGTGTATTCAGAGCACAAATACGGCTAGGCAGCCAGTGTGAGTGTGGGGACCAGGTGGCACTCCTTTGTGAGGTCACTGTCTCCATCCCCAGGGCACTCTGTCCACTCAGAACACTACTGGCTTCCCAGACCAGCTCTCTGAAACTCACTCTGTATTTTAACCTACCTGCCCATGGAGCACCCCCCACACACACAAAGTTAAATCTGGCAAAGGGATAGTGGTCTTAAAACTTCTCTAAAATGTTGACATAGGAACTTTCCATGGCCTCAAGAAATGTGATCTGGGAAGTGAGTGGCCCAAGTGAAGGTGGCAGAAGACTTCTGACAACCAGGCCAGGCTCCATCCTTAGTGACGCTGTCCCTCAGTGCCAGGGGAGAGGAAAAAAGACTGATCTCAGAACTATTAAAAATAAGGGTGGCAGCAGGGCTCCCTGTTTGTTTTGAGGTGCCCTCCACAGGCTTTTGGGTGACAGCGCTGCTTGGTAACCTGCAGTCTAACCTGTTTCTGGTCTGCTGGATGTTGCTTCTCAGCCTCCCTGCTTACTGTCGCCTGGGACAGGTGCACCTCAGGGCTTCCCAGGAACAACACTGTGTGTGTGATTGGCAGTCCGTGATAAGCTATCTGTCCAACCTCTCTGCCTTAATTGTTCTTCCCCAACCTCTCCCTCCAGGAACCGACTCGGGTGGGAGATACGGAGGAGAGACTGGGTTTTTCCTTGCCTTCAGATGGGACCTCTTGCTCAGGCCTCAGGAATGCTGCTTCAAGTTTAGCCAGGTGGCTCAGGCGCCCGGCGTTCTTGGCATTTCTCTGGGGCCCCCTGCCTCCCTCAGCGACAGTGTTAGCTAATAAATACCTTCAGCCCTGAACTGAAAAGTGCCCTTCGGAGCCATTTTGTTTAGACTCAAACACTGTAAAATTTTATTGCAGTTTCCTTTGCAGTTCCTTGCGACTATTGGGAGCCCTAAAATTCTTTAACCACATCTATTCAGATGGAAGCTCACTCTTCATCAGACATGATTTCCCATGTATGTCCTTCATCCCTCAGTGGTCAGCTGACCTGGCTAAGGGTACCCTGGGTTGGGGGAGGTTTACATATGCAGATGACTATTAAAAGTGTAACCTTTTGTAACGAGTTACATATATAACAGACTAGTTTCTCTCACTAGACTAGTGTCGCTCCCTCATTCAGTATTTTGACGCTTTCTTTTGGTCTGTGTTCTGTCAAATGTTGTGAATTTTGGTTTCCTTCAAAATAATTGACATCAATAGATTTTATTTTTAAATGATGTCTACACACACACACACACACCGCCCACCAGCTGAGGAAACAGCTTGCTTCAGGGCTCTTGGGTCGGCCCATGGAAGCCTAGCTCCTTCCACTGTGGCTGGAGTGCAGTGCTGCAGATGTGGTTGGCTTTCGAGGGCTGGCCTGGGCACGAGCTAGCACCTACTGTGTTGTAAGCTGGAAAAAATGCATTCCAGGTTGGGACTAAGTGACCCTAACAGCCACTTGCTCCTCAGCGGAGACGGTAGTCAGGCCTCTTTGCTAACAAACGGCAGCTGAGGGCAGGGAATGACAGAGAAGACACGAGGACATTCCTTCCTGAGTTCCCGATAGTCACGGTGACTGTCCAGGCAGCCACCCTTGCCACTGTGACAATAGTAAGAAGCCTTAAGTAGAGCTATGCACACTGTTCCACGAGCTGTTTATATCAGTTTATAAGCTCCTGCTTGCCAGCTGCTTACACAGTCCTGAGTTGTAGGGAGCTGACTTTTGACAGTATTTTTTTGCACTGTTGCCTGTTTTTATGAAGTCTTATTTAGATATTGATCCTAGAGGATGTTGTCTCTGTCTTTGTCATTGCTATAAAATGTTTCCTATGTGCCTTTACAAATGCGAGATCTTTATTCTAACCTTGTTTTTTTGTAAAAGATATCTATTGATTTCTACATGCAATAAACCTTGTTTTGATTGTTTTCAGAGGAAACACGAGTCTTTTCGTAACACGTCGGCACTACTTGAATATACTGGCTTCCCTTACTTTGTACATATGTGCATGTGTGGGAGCATGTATGTATGTGTGTGTGGTCACATGTGTATTCGTGCCTAGGGAGACCAAAGGCCAGGCTTGGGTGTCATTCCTCAGAAGCATTTATTACCTCATGTTTTTGAACAGGGTCTCTCACTGGACTGGGACTTCTGATTTGAGCAAGCCCAGGGGTACCTTGTCTCTGCCACTGGGATTACACATATGTGCCACCAAGCCCTGCTGTGTTGCTTGGGTTCTGGGGACTGAACCTAGGTCCCTGTGCTCACATGGCTAACTCTTTCCCTACTGTCTCCTACTTCAAGATCAGTTTGGGTCTGGGTGCTGGTGGTGGTGCATGCTTTTAATCCAGAGGCAGAGGCAGGTGGATCTCTGAGTTCAAGGCCAGCCTGGTCTACAGAGCAAGTTCTAGGACAGCCAAGACTACACAAAGAAACCCTGTCTTGAAAAACCACACACACACACACACGAAAGCAGTTTTTTAAAGTATTTTATTTATTTATTATGTATATAACATTCTGCTTCTATGTATATCTGCACACCAGCAGAGGGCACCAGATCTCATAATGGATGGATGTGAGCCACCATTGAACTCAGGACCTCTGGAAAAGCAGTCAGTGCTCTTAACCTCTGAGCCATCTCTCCAATCCCCCAAAAGCAGTTTTGTAGGCAAAGCCTTCTAGGAAACTGCCTTCTGTGTTCCTTTTTGTTTGCAGTCTCCGATGTCTTCACTTTAGAAGAAACACACAAGGAGCGAGTAGTAGGAAAGTAGTGAAAACAGCTGAGAAATGGGTCCCTCTCAGACACGCAGAGAGAGCCCTCAGGAAGCATGAAGTCCTTCCTTCCTCCACGTCCTCCACTCAGACACTACGTTGATGTGGAGGGCACTGAAGAAAACCCACATTCTTAGTTTTGTCCTTCGGCTTTGTAAAAGCTCAGCTCATCCTAGGTTTAAAGCTGCTCCCCTTCCAGGTCCCTCAGTCACAGTCTGTAAGCAACCTCCTCCCACCTGTGAAGAGGGTGGAGGAGGCTGTGTGCCCTTGGTGAGTCGGAGCAACGATGACAACTTCCAGCAGGGCTAGGGCTCCTTCTTAGGGCTCTATTGCCACAAGGAGACACCATGACCATGGCAACCCTTATGAAGGAAAACATTTAACAGGGGCGGCTCGCTTACACTTCACCACTTACACCACTGAGCCCTGTCTGGCTTGAGGAAAAAAATAACTGAAAAAGAATCCCTCAAACCAAAGAAATACGTACAAAATAAATAAATAAATAAATAAAAATAAAAAAAATAAAAAAAGTACACACGGGCTGGAGAGATGGCTCAGAGGTTAAGAGCACCGACTGCTCTTCCAGAGGTCCTGAGTTCAATTCCCAGCAACCACATAGTGGCTCACAACCATCTGTAATGAGATCTGGTGCCCTCTTCTGGTGTGCAGATATACATGAAAGCAGAATGTTGTATACATAATAAGTAAAATCTTTTTTTTAAAAAAAAAAAGAGCTTTCCTTTGTTAAAAAAATGCACACACACAAGTATGCATTAGAGTAATCAAAAGCAGGAATCTCAACAGAGTTTTGTTTTGTGATTTTCACATGTTACTTTCCTTTGCTGTAGAAAATATAAAACCTAACTGAGGAGTGTGTTGGGCTGTATAAACAAACAAACCCCCTTTAAGGCAAAAACCTGGACAAATTGTTGACCATGTCATATCTGTGAACAGGGGCACTCTGAGGACAGCCATCCTGTGTGTGACTGGCTGTGACGTAGAGCCTGAGAAGCCCCCCAGCAGCTCCTTGGGTGGGAGAGAGGAAAGGATCACTAGTCTAAAGATTCCAACTTTCAAGAGAAGGTTCAAGGGTGTTCTCTGTCCTTGCAGATTTTGGGTCCCAGCACCCACATCAGGCAGCTGACAACTGCCCCAGCTCCAGGGGCTCTGCATCCTTTTCTGGCCTCATACCCTCATGCAATAATGAATCTTTTAAGCATTTGATTAAAATGTAAAATTGGAAACCTTATCAGATGCTCATGTTTAGATATAGAATACCCCCCATAGGCGCATGTCCCTCATCGTCTTGCATTCCTGGTCCTTAGTTGGTGGCACTGTTTGTGAGGCTACAGACTTTTCAGGAGGTCAGGATTGCTGGAGGAAGTTTAGTGTCTGGGTTAGGTTCTCTCTGCTCTGTGACCAGCCAGCCTCCTACTCCCACCACCATGTATTCCCTGACTCCTGCTGAGTCCTCCCCTCCCCCCTCCATACTCAAAGCCAAAATAAACCCTTCCCCTAAGTCACTTTTTGTCCGGGTTTTTAATCACAGCGACAGAAACTAAATACATCAAACAATCGCGGGTAGATGGCAGACATAGGCTAAAGAACAGAGGTGGAAGCATTTTCAGCAAGGAAGATGGACATCCCACTATGCCTCGGGGTTCTAAGTTACGAAGATGCAGACAAAACCAGGCTAAGGTCAGTGCAGGATCCTAGGAAGATGTGTAGTCTTGGTGTCTCGTTCCTAGCACACAGCTCTAAAACACTTGGGATTTCCTGAATAAAAGTGACAGGTTTGAGGAGGGAGAGTGCTAGAAGTTTCTTTTGTTCCAGGCACACACTCTATTATAACTGAGACCCTCCCTACCTCTACTTTGTACTAATGAGACAATCTTTTTAATATTATTATTATTTACATATGTGTGTGTGTTCCCATGTGTGGTGTTCGTGCAGGCCTGAGGTTGATATACTCTCCACTTAGAGCCTCAATTGCTTGCTGAACCCCTAGTGTATTGTTTCAGCTACTCTGGCTAACAAGCCTCCTCCAGGATCCCCTATCTCTGCTTGCTGGGGTTCCAGGGGGGTTGCCACACCCACCTCGTTTTCACATGGGTCCCAGGGCTCATTCCTTCCCAGCACTGACAAGACAACTCTTGGTAGACCCCTACGTATTAAACCCAGGGTGGAAGCTCTTTTTTCTCTGAAGACCACAGTCCATTTAGGAGCTTGTAACAGCCAGCTCCACACTTCAGCCTTTGGTGTGGGAGGTTGACTGGCAGTTGCCTGTGTAATGGAATACGCAAATGGTCAGATCCCGAGGGTTGCTGTGAGCATTGTGGGCAGTGTGGCAGGCAACCTGCTCAGCGCTCCTCAGACCACATCTTCTGCTGTGTTCTGTGTCCTTGGTAAGGAGCAGTTAACTGTGTCAAACAGTGACCTGGCCTGGGGAACCACTGTGGCCCGTTACCAAGCACAACTGGGTAGCCACGCCAGACAGAAGTGGAGTGGCATCCTGGTGACCAGCAATGAAGTGAGGGCAGGCCTGGAGTACAGGGTCCTCACATGCACACCGTTTGACACTGACCAGATGGTGAAAGTGCTGAGCTGTCCGCTGGGCAGAAAGACCAGCTGGTGTGAGAAAAGTTACACACCCACTCCAGCGTCAGTGTCAGGAAGGCGAACAGAAAATACCCCAGCCATTGATACCTACTCACAGACACAGCTTCTACAGAACGCAAAAGAACCACCCGGGAACAAATGCACAGAATATCTCATACATTAGACTAACAGATTTTACTGTTGATTTTACAGTCTTAAAGGGAGAGGAAAGCAAATACTATTATTCTGTAAAAGAAACATGTAAAATAATGTCCTAATTCACCCGGAGATTACACTTTCCAGGAATCTACCCCCCAGTACTACCACACATCAGTTATGCTTAGGATGCTTAATGTGGACCAGGTGTGGTCTGCACACTTTTAAGCCCAGCACTGGGGAGGCAGAGGCAGAGGCAGAGGCAGGCAGATCTGTGTAAGTTCAAGGAAGGCCAGCTTGGTATACACAGAGTTCCAGGACAGCCAGAGATACATAGAGAAATACTGTCAAGAAAAAAAAAAAGTTAAGAAAAGAACCAGGTAAAACCATATACCCATGATTGTAAGCCTCCTGAGGGAATCAGGATATGTGCACTCTTACATCCTAAGGTTGAAAGCCATGAGAATGACTGCTAAGTGCAGAAACAGGTGTCCACTGTTAAGCCAGAAAAGCAACTTGGGTTTGCCTCTGTATCTGGGGAAGGTGACAGATCCGACCAGTGGCATCTCCTGCAGGTTGGGGCACACTTTCCTAATTGAATGAGAAATTGAAACCTTCCAAACATAAAGATGGTAGCCCAAGCTCATGTGAGGCTCAGCCGTAGCATATACACTTAAAACCCTGTGCCTGGAGACTAAGAATAGGACTGCCTCAGCCTTCTCCATGCGCTGGACCGGTAGGCAGTGTTCTGCATACAGGAGATGGTCACTGAATGACTACACCTGACAGAATGTATACTACCAGCTAAGTCCCACTGTGTGTGGTGACTGAGAGTTGTCCATATGTAGGTGAGGGAGAGGGGAACACACTGGTGCTACAGTCAGTCATTCAAGCCGATGGTGACTGATAGACAACCAGAAGGTACCTCCGTCATCTAGTAGGGAAATCCCTCTCTGGGGTGCAGACACTTTGCTAGGGAATCATCCCTGCCCTCAGAGGCACAGTGGGCTCCTCAGCATAGGCCCAGGCTGCCGCGGTCCTGTTGGAGAGTGAGACAGTGTTTGCTCACAGCACACGGTTGGTAGGGAGTTAGTTTTTCCTTCTCAAGCTTACCCTGGAGCCTTTCCAAACCAGGAGAGTAACGCACAGGGAAAAGTCCATGAACGGGATGGGAAATGGCAGGAAGAGGAAGCATCACTAAATAGCTCCAGAGGGTGCCCAAGAGAAACCTGCAAGAAGCCACGTCCTCCTGCGGGACACACACACACACACACACACACACACAGAGGACACACACACACCACACACACACAGAGGACACACACACACCACACACACACACAGGACACACTCACACACTCAGGATACACACACACACACACACAGAGGACACACACACACAGAGGACACACACACACAGAGGACACACACCACACACACACACACACACACACAGAGGACACACACACAGAGGACACACACACACAGAGGACACACACACACACACAAACACCACACACACACACACAGAGGACACACACACACAGAGGACACACACAGGACACACACACACACACACACACACACCGAGGACACACACACACACACACCCAGGACACACACACACAACACACACACTCAGGACACACACACACTCAGGACACACTCATACACATACACACACACACCACACACACACTCAGGACACACACACACTCAGGACACACACACACACACACTCAGGACACACTCACACACACAAACACACACACACACAGAGGACACACACACACAAACACCACACACACACACACACAGAGAACACACACACACACACACACACACACAGGGCACACACACACTCAGGACACACACACACACACACTCAGGACACACACACACTCAGGACACACACACACACACACCCACACACATACACACCCACACACCCAGGACACACACACACTCAGGACACACACACACTCAGGACACACACACACACAGGAAACACACACACACACACACACACACCAGAGGACACACACACACTACACACACACACACACAAACATCACACACACACACACACACAGAGGACACACACACAGAGGACACACACAGAGGACACACACCCAGAGGACACACACAGAGGACACACACCCAGAGGACACACACAGAGGACACACACCCAGAGGACACACACAGAGGACACACACCCAGAGGACACACACAGAGGACACACACCCAGAGGACACACACAGAGGACACACACCCAGAGGACACACACAGAGGACACACACCCAGAGGACACACACAGAGGACACACACCCAGAGGACACACACAGAGGACACACACACAGAGGACACACACACACAGGACACACACACACTCAGGACACACACACACACACACACACACACATACACATACACACCCAGGACACACACACACCACACACAGGACACACACACACTCAGGACACACTCACACACACTCAGGACACACACACACTCAGGACACACTCACACACACTCAGGACACACACAGACACACACACACACACACCCAGTACACACATACAGGACACACACACAGAGGACACACACACACACACTACACACACACACACAGGACACACACACCCCACACACAGGACACACACACCCCACACACAGGACACACACACCCCACACACAGGACACACACACCCCACACACAGGACACACACACCCCACACACAGGACACACACACCCCACACACAGGACACACACACCCCACACACAGGACACACACACAGAGGACACACACACATACACTCAGGACACACTCACACACACTCAGGGCACACTCATACACACAAACACACACACACATACACACAGGACACACACAAACACACACACCGAGGACACACACACAAACACACACAAACACACACCGAGGACACACACACACATACACACACACACCCAGGACACACACACCCAGGACACACTCACACACTCAGAACACACACACACTCAGGACACACACACACACACCCAGGACACACACACACACACCCAGGACACACACACACACACAGGACACACACACACTCGGACACACACACACACCCAGGACACACACACAGAGGACACACACACAGAGGACACACACACAGAGGACACACACACACACACTACACACACACACTCAGGACACACACACACACACCCAGGACACACACACAGAGGACACACACACAGAGGACACACACAGACACTCAGGACACACACACACACCCAGGATACACACACAGAGGACACACACACACACACTACACACACACACACACACACACACGACGACACACACAGAGGACACACACAGAGAGGACACACACAGACACTCAGGACACACACACACACCCAGGATACACACACAGAGGACACACACACACACACTACACACACACACTCAGGACACACACACACTCAGGACACACTCACACACACTCAGGACACACACACACTCAGGACACAAACACACACATACACACACAGGACACACACACACACTCAAGACACACTCTCTCTCTCTCTCTCACACACACACACACACACACACACTCAGGCCAGCTGACTGCTCCTAGCACCTTCCCTTCTTCCTCTAGAGTGACTGTTCTGTAAGAGTAACTGTAGACCAAAGAAGATGACTAACCCTTCTCTCAGGCAGAGAACTGGGCTCAAGAACTGATGGAGAAGGAGCCCACCCCTCCAACA